TTAACTATGTACTTTTCTCGAATATTATTACTTTATTATATTTTTATACTCTCATCTTTCTTAATAATGGAAAATTAAATTGAAAAATAAAATGCACAATTTTCTCAGGTGAACCCAACAAGTTTTCTGTCCGTATTTTTAACTACACAAACATTTTCTTATAAAAAATGGTAGTGTATAGTACACAACGTAAATACAACAACTACTCAAAACTTAGTGAAAAACATTAATGTACATTAACAGAGATTAATATCATGAAATAATAAATATTTTCTTACGACTGGTTATGTATATACAAAATATATATTATTATAATAAAATCGAAAAATTTAGTTGCTTACAAATTTCAACTCTTCTTTGTAGAGATTACAGAGCACTCATTCATTTCCCATGAATTTCAAAACTTGCTCACGATTGTTGTTCCATCATATAGGCAACCCACTGTACTACAAATGATTCTAATCTTTAGTGCAGCAGTAACGTTGTCGAAAAGAGGGTTTAAAATATTTACCACTAAGTTTTAGTCACATCAATTTAGTTTGTGCCCACCCAAGACTACTTTATTACTAATTTATATCTTTAGTTCATTTAATAAGGGAGAAACTAATTTATTAAGAAAAAAATGATGTTTGAGGGATGAAAATAAATCCCAGTTGTTTCCTACTACAGAATTCTTTTCGTTGATGCCCCACAATAACTTTCACACATTTTGGTACCTTCAGCTGGTTCAAAAAATAAAAATTATGTTTTTAAATTGGGGGCTGAAAGTGCACACTGCTAATTTTTACTAATACCTCACAGCAGAATTAATACATTTGGGTATTTTTAGCATGTTTAATAATAGAGAAATTAATTTTAAATTTAAAGAAAAAGCAACAAAAGCAACCCTACCTTTCCAATGAAGTACCCATGAATTGGAAAGAGCAGTTCTGGATTTCTTAACTTGACGACATTGCAGTATCCACCTCCACAGTCAACAACCCAAAACACTTGAGAGACGATCCCATAGGGAATAGTTGGAATTACTAAAATAATTACTTTGCCATAATAATAAAGAAAAAATTACAAAAACATATTAAATAAAATCCTACCTTTCTTTATGTCTAAAATGATATCCAAAATGTTCTAATGGTACTGTTTAGTAAGAAGTTTTCTTCCATAGGCAAATTGTTCTAAGTGCTGAAACAAAAACAAAACGGTAAGTATTGTTTAACTAATCTAATCATAAAAAATAAATAAAAACAATGTGATTCACGATCTAGTACATTTTTCAGAAAAATTCAGGAAAATACAAAATACACGTATTCATACTGTACCTGATTATTGTTATAGTTATAATTATAATTGTATAACTTGTATAATTTGATTGAAATCATGTTGAAATATGGTTATGATCATAGATAATAGACATACAAACGGTAATGGTTATGATCATATTCATAGACATGATCATATCACAGACAGTCATTGAATATTTCTTTAATCTATGTAATCATATCATAGACAAAATCATATGAATCATAGACATATATTAATGGACGTGCCTTAGCCTTATGTCGTCGTAATAATTTCTTGGCTGAAAAAGTGAGGGAGATGGCGAATGGTTTCGGACTAGTGCTATTTCTTTCATGACACGCTCACGCACTATCGTGAGAGAGATGGATATTGTCCGAAACTTCGTTCCATCTGTTTTTTTTGTTGTACCACAATTCTGACCGCTAAGGCATGTCCGTTAGTAAATGTCGATGGATATAACTAATGTACCAGTGGGCAAGTGTCTATATTATGGTTTTTAAATTATTTCTACAAATTCAACTGTTTTTAAAAATATTACAAGGATCCAATGATACATTATATATAAAAAAATACGTAAAATACAGCCGTAATATAGATATCTACTTAATTCTTTTAAAATGTCCAGCAATTTTTTCAAACTATTAAATATGTGGGCTAAACTTTTAACAATAAAATAATTTCCTCCTGTAATAAAAAGAAAAGGATTTTACAAAACGAAGACTCCAAAGTACAATAACACTAGAAATAAAAAAATATATACTTATATACATTTTCGTCAATCCGAGCGAGCTACTATTTAAAAAAAAANTACTGAATTAACTTTCGGGATAAAGGAGTGGCTTTATTCATATTTTAATTTATATTTAGTTCCTTTTCTCTCTTCTTTCATTCTAAATAAAGTTCATTTCGAGTTCTGATATGATATTGCCCAATATTATTATCTAAGTGTATTATATAAATTAAGATGTACTTGTCGTGGAAGGTATTTGTGTCAAATATCACAATTTTTGTTGGAAGACATATTCCTACAAAATATTTATTAAATATATCAAATAACAAGTTTTACTAAATACAGCAATACCATCTGAGGATTCAATTGCAATGTTTCTGACAAAAAAAGAACACACTAGACTACCTTCTGTAATAGTGCAGCTGTGTGTGGGTTTCGATACCAAAAAGAGGAATTCTCGCAACAAAAATGTGTTTTGGTAGGAATAAATAATAAGAAAACTGATGTTACCATTTAGCAATATTTCTATGCTAATTTCCGCAAGGAATAAATGAGGGTCACTAGAAAACAAAAGGATTTTTAAGGCATCAATTTTCTAGAAATTAGCTACTACTTAATATCACTAGTCATCAAAATTATTTACAGTTAAAATCTACTTCACCTTCATTTTTATAGTTATTGGGGTCTCCAGAGCACGTGTACGTGGCGAAAATCCATTATGTATGGTGTTCTATTCAATAAATGTAATGTAATATGTAATCAAAAATTGTTAGTTTGTTTATATCACTGCTTAGTTTAGAAAATTTCGCTTAAGTAATTTCTTTTGTGAATAATAAAAATGATATAACATCTCTTTTATCAGTATATTTTAGATATTGCAATATTAGACTTCTATTGTAGAAAGCAGTATATTTTAAAAAGTAAGAAGCCATTTATATTTAATAAAATATTTTATTTTTATGAAAATTCTGAAAAAGCTGCCACAATTACCCATTCTTTATCTTACAAAAAGAATTACGACTTAACAAAGTATATAGTTTTAGTTTAAAATTTTCGTAGACTAATAAGCTTAAAGCTAATGGTCCCAAAATCTGGAGTAGAGCACCATATAGTTTTTCACAGTCCTAAATCAACAAGGACAGCCTCCTGTTATCGATTGATAATGTCCTTTTCAATGTAATAATGAAATTCATATTACTAAACTATTAGTAAATCCTTTCATTAACTCCAAACGTCTGACGAATATCTTTTTTGCGTTTCCATTTTCTTCAAGTAAGCAGATGCTTGCTGTTCGCTCATGTTTCCTTTCGTCATTAAGATCTTCAGAAAAACGTTGCGAACATCGTTAGCCATATTTCTTGCGTCACTGAAATTACAATGTAGTCAGTTAAACTGTCTTAAGTTCTTAATTTTTCTTGAAACCATTGGAAGGAAAAATTGCAAATTTTGCTTCACAATTCGCTAATGATTAAAATGAAAAAATAATCATTCCAAAAATTTACAATTTTAAGAGGGTTTAAAACTAAATGAAATTCGAAACTTGTCAATAATCAGAGAGAAATCTGTTAACTGATAAGACTGTAATGGTAAACTGGATGTTAATTACAATAATAACATATTTCTCTAATTATTATTTTTTTCTCAGTAAAGACAAGACGACTTTAGGAGTAGAAAATTGTAAAAACATTCTTGTTAAATCAAAAACCAACACCAACGTTTCGCCTCCAATTATCGGTCTTTTCTTCATTAATTAATATCACAAAGCCTACCACTCTACTTTTAATTACATATTTGTAGGCAAAAGATCGATTGTGGGTTTTTGACTCTAAAAACCTTTTTACCCTAAAAATTACCTCTGGTTTCCACATTCATTTGGAAAAGAGGTACTAACATGTTTATATTTGAGGGTGATATAGCAGAATTAGAAACTAACAAGGAGGAGCTAGAGACGGCCTTAGATAAAACGGAAATGATATTGCCCAAGAAAATGGAATGAAAATACATATTTATTTAGTCTTCAAACTGACAAACGTTTAATGTTGATGAAATATTTTATAAAATTAATTATAATTATTCCAGAAAGCAAAATTGAGAAGAGATAAGATTTTAAAGAAGTTACTTTTTAATGTTCATTATAAAAAAATATTTATAAGCATGTCTTCAAAGATATAAATAAAAGTTCTGGTCTCTTGGTACGGTGGTGTACTGTTAGTAGAAAAAACATACAATAGTGAGCAAATATTATAACCAAACGAGATATACAGAAATTCTAAAAAATGCAGAAACACATACCCACAGATGTATACATGTCCATTATTTTCCCCGATAATTTTCCATATTTCGTCGTGATTTTGGTCCATGAGATGGTGTACATAAACTTTGTGTGGTTGATCTCTTGAGAAAGCCAAGTACAATTTGAGACCTTTCTTCTGAAATTCTTGCAATTCTTCTTCATACAAGAAATCTTCTGACTGTTTACGACAACCGAAGTATAAAATTGTATCACCAACAGTCTTGCCTTCATCTTGAAGAGCAAATCTCTCTTGAATAAAGCCTCTGAATGGAGCGACTCCCGTACCGGGCCCAACCATTATAACAGGAGTTTGTGGATTTGCAGGTAATCTAAACTGAGACTTTCGAATGAATACGGGGACTACAGGCAAATCAATATCTGGTTCAGGTAATTTTCTAGCCAGCCAAGTTGTACAAACTCCTTTGTTATGTCTTCCAGTTGGTGTCATATATTCGACGACAACTGCAGTTATATGCACGGTGTTTGGATATAATTTAGCCGAAGATGAAATAGAATAGTAGCGTGGTTGAAGACGTGGAAGCAGTTCACACAAATGATCTAATGGAGGTTTACACGAAGGCAAATCTTCTAAAACGTGGACAATATTTCTATTATCGTTGATGATCCATTGTTGATATAATGCTTTTCCTTCACTAGTTGTGCTTGCCATTAGTCTAAGTTTCTCTTTTTCGCTGGGGTCGCTACAGTATTCGGACAATTCTTTCAGAACGTGAGTTCTCAAGTTATTCGTGATGTCCAGGTAGTGCGATAGAGCAGTGCGATAAGAACAAGGACAGGGGAATGGATGTTTCTTGCTTGATTCCTCGTCGGTGTTGGTTAATGTAAAAATAGTTTCTAAATCAGTACTGGTGAGTTTTCCGAGTTTTTCTACTAGTTCAGTATCGTTGATGGGATAAACCGCAACATGGTCACCTGAATCGTAACGCATCTTTGAACCTTCAATGTTGAATTCGATATGGCGACAAGAACGGTCTCCTCCCTTGTTCAATTCACGATTTATTTGAATTTTTGCTAAGAATGGATTTTTAGCATCATACGGCCTGAAAAATTAAAGAAAATATTTAAATAACTTATCCAAACAATGAAGTGATTAAAAGTAAAATTATAAAAAATTATATTCCCATAGTCTATAAACAATTTGTTAACTTACGGTCTTTGATTTTGAAGAGAATGAAGACGAGCCATTTCTCCGGTGAAAATTCGGTCAGGCACATCATCTTTAAATTCAGTGAGCCTGTATTGGCGTAGACTAACATCTTCTCCTGTAGATTCAATACCGAAATATTCACAAACAGCCGGCCAAAATTTGTCCTTCCATGTGATAAAATCTTCTTCAATACTAACAACAAAGATCATGACTACTACTAGAAGGTGAGATTTTATAATGTAAAACTGAAGTTGAAATTGGATATGATAACAAAGTGTATTTTATATTTAAGATATTTTATTATTTTTAAGTATGTAAATGCATATTTAAACTGTAAAAAAGTACAAATAATTTGATATTTGAGTATAGTATAATTAATGTAATTTATACAAAAAAATTGATTGGGGTAAATGGCAGAAAACGATAATTTTGTTTTTTTGAACTTTTCATTTTAAATTCTTAAACTTAAGTGAAAGCTTTATTTTATATGAAATTGCATCCACAAAAATACAATATTAAATTCCAAATGCATATGAATACATAAAATTTCATTGACATAACTAGCAATAATTACACATCATCAATAGTGCAACAAAACAAAGCATCAAGTATAATTTGTTATTGAAATAATTTAACTTACTTTGCGTCATCATCACCCAAGCCAAGATCGAATACACGAGTTGCGCCTAACTGTTCTAGTCTCTTATCTAAATAAATTGCAACCTCATTGTAGTGCTCGTATGTTTTGTTTCCTAGACCAAAAATCTGGAAAAACAAATTGTACAAGTTACAAAAACCAACAATAAATACAACATAAGAAGCTCATAAGAATACCAAATTGTTGATTTTTTTTAAATAAAAACATACCTACACAGATCGGAATTGTAAAACTTCATTCAAATTAAAAAATAATGCAATTTTCCACCTATGTATTTTACGTAGCATTGTAAGTAATTGTCTAGATCAAGTCTCTTCAATCGTTTTAGGAGTTCGGAGAAAAAGTGGTGGCGAAAAAGAGAAGGCGGTGGAAGCGAAAAGGAGGCGGGGGAGGTGGAGGCTAAAAATGGTAAATGTGTAGAACTGGACGGGCATTCGGATAGATTTGGTGGACTTGGGAGTGGTAGGACTTACTTTTAAGTTAGTGGTTGCAAGGGCGGTGGTTTAATTTCTTTTTTAATTCAGTAAAAGATTAAATTATTAATTTTGTAAAGGGTAAGAGTGAAGTAAGGTATACGGAGGGCTTGTATAACATATGCATTGTATGATAATGTGAGACTATAAAAATTTTCATTTCCATCCTCGGCCACCACTTTTTATAAATGGGGATGAAGTCCTTTCACCTTCCTCGGCCCCTCCTCCCCTACCAGCCCCGTCCTAGTGTCCATTCCATCATCTAGGCATTTACAATTTTTATTTTTACCCTCTACCTTCCCCGCCGCCACTTTTTTAATGAGGATGAAATACATTGCCCTCCGCTTCGCTCTGAAACCCCTACCACAACCGTCCGAGCGACGGTCCCATCATCTAGAGATCTAGACAATCACCCAAAAGTTTAATTGCTAAATGATTAATTAAAATTGAATAATTACTCAGCTTTTTGGAGGTTTTGTAGAACATCGGATACTTTAATGTCAGCATTATTTTCAAGTTTTATTTTCTTATCATACTAGTTGTGTTATTGTGTAATACGTGCAACTTACGGAGTAATTAAGTCCAGTCAAATCTGCGTCACCGTTTTGTAACCATTCATAAAATTCCATGGCATTGTCGGTAGGATCACCTTCGCCGTAGGTCGCCATACAGAACACAGCCAGAGAGTTTGGAATTGTTTTTAGGTTTACTAATTCTTCCTGCAAAAGAAGCCCATTTATAATTAAGTTTCGATAAAAAAGACAGTCGAAGCAAGTCGATACATTTCATCTTCAGCACTTATTTTTTAAGATAGAGAGTTGCGGTTTTCGCAACAGCTTATTGTTATTATAAAAACGTCGAAGAATTAAAATAAAAAATAAATAAATAATTAAAACAGCACGTGGTGATATTAGAAAAAAAAACATAAATACCATATTGGGTTTGGCTTTGATTTTACACCTTCTTAACTTGGTTAACAATTATATAATTATATTTTTGAAACCCACATTATGCCTAATTAATACAAAAAATAATATAAAGGGTGTTCCATTAAAAAAAATATATTTGCATCAATTAAATCAATTAAAAAAACGAAAGGTGCTAGAAAAAAGCCCACTGGATTCTGTAAAATTGTATAAAAATATGCTTTAACTTCTTCGATAAGTTAATGAAAAATGAGATACGAGAGGGTGTTTCAAAGGTAATACTTTTCAACTCCACTTTGTATCTTAGAAACTAAACAGGGATATGAAAATTTTGCTGGTGTCATCTTTAATCTTATAGAAAAATGGCAACCTGTTATGAAAACCGCAACCCTCAATCTTTAAAAATAAGGTACCCCATAAGAGTGCCGAAAATTGGATATCCTGTATGCATAAAACCGAACAATTCTGAGGTCAGGGAATTCTATTTTTTGAATATTTTAACAGAATTTTATTATAGTTCATTTGGTTAGCTAATAGGCTAATACGTTATATAACTGCACTAATGTACCATCGAGGACAGAAGTGACGATTCCCTTTTATTGCCATTAAAAAAAGTTACATTTTTGTCGTCATAATTATACAACTTAAGCTTAGTACTTTAAATAAGTTAGTTTTAACTTTAACATTACCAGGTTTAAAATGGATTGTTCTTTTCTGTTGAGGTTATTTTACGTTTTTCTCTATAAAAATAGCTCCAACTGAGACGTTTCAAGTTTTATTTTAAAGAACGCAATAACAACGCGATTAAAAAAATTAGAAAGACGCCGTTATAACTTTTACTTTTCGATATACATATATGTATTAGATCGGTATTGACATGAATGCTGAATTTGTTTTTTAGTAGAAAAATTGGAATGATTTTGTAGAAATATAGTAAGTGTACTTTCCGTTGATTTTCTAATTAATTATTTTCATTTTTCGCTAAAATTCCTAGAACCATTAGCATATATCGAATTTTTTGTTACAAACACAAAATTACTAAACTGAATTTCTTTGTAAAATAAATTAAAAACACGTTATCGGATCCGTAATTCTAATTCAATTTAATATTAGATTAAAATTATAGATGCA